AGGAATGATTAAAAATATCTTCAACTTTGTGGGTTATATCTTAGTGAAAGATCAAAGTTGGTAGTACCATAAAATGTTACTGCCAAACAATGACTTCAAAATATACATATCCCATATACCAAAATAATTTTTTAGTGTGTCTGGGCATCATATGGACCATGTGACCCGAGCATATTTTCACCACTTTGGAATTTTCAACTTTTAACATTTTAGGCATAGATATATTACCTTGGCACAGTGACACAACTGTAGGTAAGGGTACACAGTTGTTGACAGTTAAAGACCTAACTGGATATAAATGATGTACACTTCATGTTATACAAAGATGCTCAGTTCCTACAAGCCGACATCATTTGTGTATGAAATATACAAATCTTATTTCCAGATCAATAGCTTCTGAAAACCTTTTAAATGAAAAACATTCCACATACTCTCTAGGCTTTGACTTTTATACCCCTGGTTGATCAGCAGAATGGTTAGAATCTTAAAGATAAAGGTATCTGGTCATTTATATATTCCATTACAGCATCATTTTTCCCATCTGCTCATAAAGTTCATGGCTTGACTTAGAGCTGAGAATCATAAGTGAGAGATCATAAATAATCTTTTTCAAAGCACATTCATTTTAGACTGAAGATCATGATTGTTCAAATCAGGTGATCATGGAAATTGGGGATATGATCATGGAAAGCGGGGATAAACACACGCCATCTGAACTTTTGAGTCATTCAGTATGTTGGAAAGAAGCAACTGAAACCACTGCTGAGTCCTTTCCACCTGGCCTCCGAGCTCCTGCTGGGGCTCAGAGATCACCAAAGCTTATTTAACACTTCTCCCTCATTAAGCATGGAAGAAAAGATGTCCTCATTGCGAGTGGAGGGCACCACAGGACATGGATTAGCGGAGTTCCAAGAAACTGTCTTCCAGAATCAGATGGAAAATTCTAGGTTTTAAAATAATAGGCTCTCCATGAAAACACTTAAGAACTCCATGGTTTGAAATTGGAAGGCTTAGAAACAAAACGAGAACCTCAAGGTCAAGACTATTAAATGCTTACGAAGCGACCTAATGGAGAAAATTGATTTCTCTGCTCGTACTTGTTCCATTCCTTTTCAACTACGCATGAACAATTTGGGCACATGTATTCTGACATTCCCAGTAATGAGAAAAGATGCTTTTATAAAAGAGTTTCCAAAATGTCATGGTTTAGAAAACAGTTTGGGGAAATAATTTTAATATAGATATTTTTATACCAATTAAGTAAGAAACTTTGCTGGGAATGCAGATCCTTAATGTGACAACAGGGGTTACTGAGAGCCAGTGACAGGGATTTGATGGGAAATCAGCTAGTGTTTCCTCATCTATCAAAATCGCTCTTGGGAGTAGACACGGGAGACTGTGGTGACATGCATCTAATGCATTTTCTACAGTGGTACAAAAGATCGTAATCTTAAAGAATTAATTGTTGATTTAAAATGCCTACTTCTCCCACTACAGTTCCATTACTAACACCTGAAATAGAAAAATCACTGAATCCGTTATCACCATGAACTAGACCTTAGAGAACCAGGTCAATATACATGGAAACATTGAACATTATTTAAATAATATATATTCAATGAGAAAGCTTCAGGAACTCTCTAAGTGTTTAAAGAAGTGAGGTATCATGAAAAGACCCTTGACAGAGAAATAAACAGCAGGCCTAGTCCCAGATGTCACTCACTAGCTGTGTGATCTTGAAAAAGTCACTCAGCTTCTCTGTATCTCAGTTTTCTCATCTATAAAGTGGCAGTGGGGTCAGGATTCTTTAAACTCTTTCCAGTTCTAGGTAACCACAGTGTTATAATTGCCATTATACACCCTTTCCCTTTGTCAACAGATATTACTTTGGGAATCAGCTGAGTAAATCAGATTGGCTGTACCCTGTCCTTGGAAACAGCAGACTGCTTGTCATCTCGGTCTCTTGCCACAGGCACAGAGGCAAGGGCATAGATAAATAAAAGTAAATGTTGAGAGCATTGCCAGGTCAGTGTCAACTTTGTTTCTCAGTCAGATACGCTAAGATATATTGCAAAACGTCAGAATGACAACTAAAAGTAAAAGCATTACTTGTGATGGCTACTCATAGCTGACAGTCTAAAAGCTGCTCAAGCCCAAAGAGAAATACATCTGTGTTTCATTCAGTCCGCTTTACATTTAGAATGGCTTCCTCCCCCTACTTATCATTCTTGGACTAGAGGCAATCACGTGACACAGCTGCACGCAGAGAGAGAAGTTACAGAAAAAGGACAAGCCGGTGGCAAGGATCTGAGCCAGACCCCCCTTCTTACCTCCTCCACATGACTCGGAGCACTTGGTGAAGCCCTCGTACTCCCAGTCGTAGAGCTGGTCAAAATCCTGCAGGCCACCGAAGAGGCCACCAGTCTCTTCCGGGTTAAACTCAGGAACCTCCCCGTTGCAGGGTCCTGCGTAGCAGGGGCGCTGCGATGCTGGCTTGGGCCCTTCACATTCGTCAACGGGCAGGTCGGCCACGGACTGAGAGAAAGACAGGAGCACCTGGCACCGGACTATTCGCACCTGGGTCCCCACACCACAGGTGACCGTGCAGGCCGACCAGGCCTCTGGGATGAATCTGCAGTCCGCAAGCAAACAAGAGGACAGGATGAGAAGCCCCAAGCAGGAGACCGCGGGTACTGGGAGGGTCCTCATCCCACCTGCCACCGTGGCCCAGTGCCGTCCCAGGATGTGCTCAGGGCTCAGCCACCCTGTCCTGTGCGGGGCGCTTCGGTGTAGTTCATGAGCTCATTTGCCACTGTTTCTGGATTGGTTTCTTCGTCAGTGTCATAGGAACCCCCAGCTGGAAGACATTCCAGCCACAGACCACCTGCTTTCTCCCTGCTTTGCACCCACAGTGGTAGCTCTTTGGAGCAGGGAATTGGTTTCTTCTCTATCGATCTAAATCCCAGCACTTGTGCCTCCTGCAGATGCTGGCTATCCTTCCAGCAGACTAATACTAATACTAAAAACTCTAACAAAATCAGCCCTTAGAGATATTTAAGGAAGTATTTTTTTTGTTTTGTTTTTAGTCTGGATTTCAGGTTCTGTAACTTTCTTTGCTTTTCTGCTCAATGTGCTTCCCAAGATTTATTTATATACAGAAAGAGAAAGAGGTGTTTTTTTTTGTTTTTTTTTTTGTAAGTTTCCAAGAATGGAGCAGAGCCTTGTTCCTCACACATTCTTTGAATTAGTCTGGACTGCAATTCTTTTTATATCCTAGAGAAAAGCCCTGCTACAAATTTAAATCCACAGGCATGTCACAGTAAACCAGGGGCTCTGCATTCATACGAGTTTGTTCAACAGCCTCCAGCGCCTCCCCACCGAGAAAAGCCACATTAGGGAGAACTTGGTTTTTCTCTGAGTTTCTCTAGAATGTAGGACAATATCCAAATTCCAAAAAGGCTTTTTTCCTCCCACTAATCAACAATGGCCATATCTGCAATGACCTTGAGAAGTGCCTAGAGAAAAAAGCCCAGAGGGAACCACTAACATTTTCACAAAGTTAGTATAATAATCTGGAGGAAGGACTTTGGAATTAAAAAAAAAATTTACTTTTCCATGATCCTACTGCTTTTGAACAGGGAGTCATGCTGAGGAGGCATGCAAACCTGGCTCTTTAACCTTGACTTTGGCAGAAAAGGAAAGAAGTGATAAGAAGGTTATAGCATTAAATCTCAGCAAGTGAAAATAGTTCCTATCTAGTTTAGGGAAACTGAAATTCTAACAGGAAACCAATCCAAGTTTTCAAATTGGAAGAAGCACAGCAAAGATGTGGCCTGGGCCTGAGCCTGGGCTGTGTGCAGAGCAGGGGGACTGGCCCGGAGATCCAGACCCATGGTGTCTGAGGCATGGAGGGAGTCCCTTTAGGAAAGGCCTGAGGCTTGTTTCCTTTGAAGAGCCATCCCCTAGGGGTGAACGAAGGTCACATACAACCTTGTCAGGAAGGTGCATGAGGGAGGAAGCATCACCCAGGATTATTCCCAAGAAATTCTCATCACAGAGTCACCTCCCTCTTTCTTTTTTGAATTCCTAACCATCTCCTGGCACCTAGAGAACGTGGTGGGGAAAACAGTATCCTAAAAGATTAAAATGTCTTTCCCTCTTTAAATAACGCTACCTGTAGCAGTCTTTTAGGAATATAAAACCAAAATCTGCAATCGAAATAATTTTAACCCTCTTATTACACATTCACATCTATCTGCCTGAGTCCTGGAACAAGGATCATAACAAATACACAAGCACTGAATTTTACAACCCAGGTGTGGACAGAAAGGAAAATACACACCAAACTATTTTATATATAAGAGAAACCCAGAAGCAAATGATAAGTCTGCCAGCTTTGACAATAGTGATGAATAATGCTTGTTTAATAATGTGGTCCTGAATTTTGGTTTCAAATGAAGATGACAAGATCTCAGAAAGAATGGCACCCTATTAGCTTTTCCCATACAGGAAGGATTATTGTTCTGTCAGCTATAATAGCCCTCTTCAGTGACTATTCCAAGAGACCAAGGCTCAAATAGCTTTTTCGGTAAAGGGCCAGGTAGGGAAGATTTTAGTCTTTGTGGGCCATGTTTGTGAATCTCTGTTGTTGCAATAACCTCTGTTTCCATCTTTTTCCTATATATATAAACTTATGACAAGTAGCTAAATTGATTTGTTTATGGATTATCTCCTAGATAAAAAGTGAGTCCCAGATGAAATCTAGAATATACAGGCTGCACAAATGAAACCCTCAGCTCTCCTTGCCTATAACATGAATCACTTTGCATTTGTTCTCTCTCCAGGACTGGGAAGATACACCAAAAGCACACGAAGTAGAAAAGGGGTGCTACCGAAGCCCCATGAACTCACTGCAATGATTGAGACTTGTTTACTTTCAAGTGGCATCTAAATGAAAAAAGTAAAGAAATATGTGTGTGAGGGTGTGTGTGTGTGTGTGTGTGTGTGTTTGTGTGTGTGTGTGTGTGTGTGTGTGTATTTTTGACTGTCGGGATACTTAGAGTTAATCTAATTTATGTCTCCCGAGTGAGAACCTTATCAAGTGTCAAACAGCCTTACTGGCTTATCTCCCAACCCACTATCCTTAGGTCTTCATCAAGTTCACACCAATTAAGAACAATTTGGTCTTTAAGTGGTGCTGTCTTTTGGCAGTCATCCTAATATCTCTAGTGCATACACTGGATGATATACTATTCTCTCTCACTGAAGGCAGGAGATTGTATTTCAAAAGGAAAATATCCAATAGTACAAACGGCCAAATGAATAATAACTGTTTTTCATGTGAAACCTTCCCCCATATCCCTAGATCTCCCAACTCTATATTTACTATCCTGAGCTTTCTGGCCACAAGCGCGAGGAAGCAAGGTCAGTGAGAGGGCAGTCATATGAGCTAGGAGGTTTAACTGCAATGTTTAGAAGACGCATCTTGAGTAGTTCTTGCTGAGTTAGAACCTTTAAAGTGGGACCTTTAAAATGGAGTCAATGCGTCTTTTAAAAATCAGTATATTAATCGTTTTGATGTACAATGTATTATTGAAGTTTAATTTGGGTAATTTAAGAATTCTTTTGGTTAGCAGCACTATTGCCAGATGAATGAAGAATGGCTTGGATAAGTGAGTTCTTTCAAAGGTGGGCTTGAGCTTCAGAAATGACTGATATGATTTCTGCATTTAGTTTTCCCATCTCCAGGATAAAACAAACAAACGAACAGAACCCTGGCAAATAAGTAATTTATGTTTCTCTCTGGTCTTCTGTTTGCAAGATTCATTGTTCATTTCACTACCAAAATACTTATCCTTTAATTAGAGGTATTACCACAGTCCCTATTACGAATAGAAAAGAGTGATAATCAAATTCACTTGTAAAATCCCAAAGTGGTTTAGTTTATTAGTGGCTATTACAGAGTCAGAAGCATGGACTGAAATAATAAAAACTATTACTTTATTAATATGATGCTAAAGAGAAACAGTTCACTCTTGGTTAGTCTCACATTACTGCAGATATTAGCCAGACTTAGCTCTAGTTTTATACACACATGGCCTGATAATTTTTTTTCTTTTCTCCTCTTCCTTTCCTCTCTCCTCCTTTCATATGAGTGCTTGTTAAAAAAAAAAAAAAATCATTGGGATTATTCAAAATAAGAGTAGCACAATATAGTAGCTCTATAGTTGTGTTATTTTGATGCTGTTAGGAGCCTCACCCCATTCTCTAGTTTCAAAATGCAAACTGAAACTTGCAGAAAATCACATTAGAAATACTTAATTTTTGTTTAGTTTTCAATCTTATAACATTTGAGTTATAAGTTGATAGGGGTTGTGGATTTCTTTTTCCTCTTTCTTTTGGTGATTTTAGGGTGAGGGGAGAGGAGGGAATGAACTGAAGCGTGTAGAAAAAAATTATAAAAAACGTAAAAGGGACCCCAAAGATTACTGAGTATTCTGTCCAGTGCATTGTTCCTAGTTATTACAAAATTTTAAAATCTTTCATTGACTGTGAATTATTTTACAACTTTTAAACTGCAGGAAATTGATCATGAGATTCTTTCCCATAGAAATGAAGATTGTCTTGTGGAATGCAATTGGTTGTCCTGTGGATAGACCCATTTTGCATCTACTTATAAATTCATTTCAGTATTCTTATTTGCCTGAATATGTTTGGTTCTTTTAAATTTCCTTTGAGTTGGTTGTAACATATTCCTGGTTTCTTCATTAATTAATGAGGTAAATACAATCTTTGACAGATGTTTGTTTTATATGCACATGAGAATTATGTTTATTCCCTTTCTAAAATTTTCTCACCTAACCAGTGGCCACAGAGGGATCTGCAGAAGAGTATATTGGAAAAATAAAATACTGTCTAAGTAATTCTATACCAAATTAACCAGAAAGTCTTTTACATAAATATGTCATTTGGGGACAAAAAAATCATCATATGTCATCGGTAAAAATGGTATTTCATATTGCCTCATCTTATTTTTAGTTCAATCTTTCTCTATTCTTTTTCTTTAGTTTTGAAGAGTTGGTTCTTCTCCTGATTCTGGACAATCTTTGAGACAGTAAAATCTTTAGGAAAAGGTGCAGTTACTTAAACCTAGCTGGGCATTTGGGCATCTGGGCATTTGTATCGAAGAGGCATTTGGATCTATGAGAAAAAAATAATTGCTGCTGGGTGGGAAAGGAACTAGGAGAGGGAAAGGGAAAGACATTCTTTCATCTACTTAGTTATTTATTCAATGTCCCTCAATGAAATTAAAAGGAAAGATATTTTTTAAAAAAATCCTCCAAACTAGTAAACAAACAAAAAACCTTTGGAATGTTACAAAGGGCAGGCAACTCTAACTGAATCACTCTAGGAGTTTCAAAGTGATTTACTTATAAAATCCATCATACTAAAAAAAAAAAAAAAAAAAATCCATCATACTAAGACAAACTTAAAATGATTATTTAAAAATATAGCTAGCTTTGCATTTCATGTTTGTACGAGAAGTAACTACTGGCTTTTCAACACAAAGCTAGACAATTTCATTAATGAATATATACATCTAATTCACTGACATTGGGTTCTTAAATCAAA